ACCTGTTCGAAAACTGGAATAAGGTATAAGGGCATAACATAATAACTGACACTACATCTAACTCCAACTAATCCATGAAATTGAGGGACACATCCACCATTGTCTTAAGTGAGTTACTATCTCACAACTGAATTTACTTAGAGTAAGTCAACGATTATTCGTTGATCTTCAGAAATAACCCTAAAGGTGTTGATTATGATATACTTTACGAATACACTTTATCATTATTCTATTCACTAAGCAACTGAACAAATTAGTGTTCTCTTTTTCTTCAGACAGTAATGATAATTCATTAAATAAGACTATCATTATTTATTAGTTACTAAATAGTGCCAAGACTTACAGAAAATACTTAGCTTTTACGCTTCTTTCATTTTTGCATGATGTTTATTTCGAATTAAATCCTAAGATTTAACATTTGTCTTTAAATGTTACTTTCAATTCATTAAATTCAACAAAGACAACTAATAAACTGGAAGGCAGCATTTAAATCATGATCAATCGTTTTATAAAGAAAACCAAAACGATGAACCATTATAATAACGATTCATCTTAATTGTCTTTTATAATAAATAAGTATTAAAAAGCGTATGATTCATTTTTACACAATATATTCACGATCACAATTATACAAAATAATAAATAAGTGAACCATAGTTTCGATCTTCCTATATAACAAACATAGACATAAAGCATTTTTCTAAATAGAAAAAAACATTTCAAGTCATCTCATCAGTTCGTATGAAACTACTTTTATGAATCCGGCGTTCATCTTGTTGTGTTAATGATGTATGGCAACTTGGACCGATGCATATATGTACCTGGTCCTACATTGTAGCTGACTAACTGACTGATGAAACTGATCTAATTCCAACACATAGATTTATTTTATTCAGTAGCTTCCGTAAGTAATAGTATTGTGATGTGTGCTACTGATATCGACAAATAGAAGTAGTATGTATCATCAATCGAAAGTGAAATACGTGGAGGCAGAAAGTTAAGAAGATCGAAAAAAGAGTGAACGAGAACAGAGAACAATTGATGTGGAAATGAAAGAACAATGAAGTCTAAGACGATTGATTGACATTTTTCAAATGAAGTATTTACTGTATGGATCTCAGATTTTAACTAAGATGTCCAGTAATTTTGTGTTCAAATACATTCGATTATCCCGCACTTGTATGTTCTCGTTCATTATAGTATTAGTAAATACAGATTGTTAATAGGGGTCAGTAATATTCTGACAGTATTTAACAATAATAATAATAACAATCAAATTGTTACAAATGAAAACATGAAGTTTGTTTTTTCTATCTACCTGTATGTGTTTTGTATTCTTTAAAAAAATATTCTATACAATTCACTAACCATAATCATTTTTCAATTGGATACCATTCAAAAAACTGATAGTGTTGCACTCACTTATTAATTACTATATGTTCAAAAGATTTCATATCATTTCAATCTGAGGAAAACAATTTTTGTTTTGTTTTGAGAAGAGCTAATAAGATCGACAACAACAAAATGAAGTTGATTCTGTTATTAGTTTTACTGATCTTTTTGAATATCGATTTATCAAAGTGAGCTGAGCATCGTTTTGTTTTTTTTACTTTTCATTGAAATGGTTCAATCTTATAACTTGTTTAGTTGTTTCTTTTTCTAAAAACAAACAAACAAACAATTTTTGATTGAACACGTAAAAATGATTTTTGTTATGTAATTTTCGGTATTATTTTAAACTGTTGATGAACGTTTACAGCTACTCGTAGTGGAACCATTGAGTTATAACATCTAAATTTGACAGAAAAAAAGTAAAGTAACGTTTTTAACTGAAGAACCATTGAATATCAGTTTGGAATAAATAATTAGCTCATTATAATATGAGCTGCAAGAATTCGACTCTATACTCGGTCAAAAATAGGATCTTTTAATGTATCAAGTTGAACAGTAACATTTATCGACCTAATAATAATTTATAAACAGAAGATTTAGAAATGGAATTAATGGGCGATATAATTCATAAATTCAGACTTATTCGTTTGAATTGTATACTACTTGTAACCAGAATTCTACCGTACAATTTAATTAATTTCCAAGCAACATCTAGGTCAGCCCCGTTTTCAGAACTACCTATGTGTGAACGCAGTTGTTCCTAGAATCTGCTTTTGGCTTTCTCGTCACTTACTTCAATCCTAATGGGTCTTCTTAGGGTGGCTTTTCTGAGTTCAGTCAGGCGCAAGCAAATGTGTGCTCGTATTAGAGCATGATCATAGTCTAAACATGTACTCCGGAATGAGCGACAGTCTTCTATCGAGTCTCTCCAACGATGACTGATGGCAATATGGTCTATTTGAGTTTATCGTTGGTTTGGTGCAGGCGGTCGCCATGTTAGATGATGTCTCTCCTTATGCTTAAAATTGGTGCTTGCTAATAATGAATGATTGTCTGAGCACAGTTGCAGCAGGCGATCACCTTTATCTGTTCGTTCAGCCGGGATAATGTAATACCCACATAAATGTCTTTCTGTCTGGTTTGAGCCACCTAGTTGGGCATTAAAGTCACCTGCTACGAGTACTATGGATATGAATACAGTGATCGTTTGTGCTGTAAGAGGTATGAGGGCGGTTATCACTTCCCGGTTTCTCACACCGTGGGATGGTTGTTCTGGAGGTACCTGAAGAAGAAATTAGATTAAAGGTGATCATAGTGACATGAGAGCGTGATCGCAGTGCCAAAGGGACAACTGCTTGAAGTCGGTCACTCACAACTTTTTATATGAGTTATCTTCGTAATAGCTCCGTACTTGTTAAGTCGAGGTGTGCATTTTTAGGGCCGACCATTTTTAACTCCACCCTTTCCCATGGGAAGGCAGCATCACTATTATGCTGATTGTCTGAAGGGAACAATTTATTGTCGTCACACTTTTGTGCAATCAGCAGTACGACTTCTCCCTCGAACCTTGGGTTTGTTGCTTCTAATCTTACCGCTCTTCAACCGATCTGTCTGGCATGGTAGGACCTTGAGGAACGATTGTTTAAACCAGTATAGCTCCATCGGTTCATCAAGATAGGCAAGCCCGATCACCACGTCAATGTAGAAGCGACAGTCGAGGGAATAATTGTTGCAGACATGTAAGATTCTGTTTAACAGTAGTGTTCAAGACGTTATAAAGCGATTCAGATTGTGCATCTTGAAAAATTGGAAAATCAAATAACCCCATTTAGCAACTTATCACACAGAATAATAACAGTGCAAGCCTATTCACTATATCAAGCCTGAATATATGTTCGAAGAAAAGAAAAACTTAGTGAATAGAACTAGCACCCCATTTCATAATCAATCAAATACTCTGAGGCAAAATAAAAAATATAAAAACTGCATTCCCTGCGTTCAAAACTATACTTCGTTAAATCACTATATTTCTGTGGTATGGATCGAAACGTAATTGATTATGATTTCCCCACTGAAATTTGAACTCTGTTTAGAGCACATAGTTTACAATTTTTTACTCTCTAACTATCCTCAATTAGTTTACACGCTAAAAATTGGTCTTCAGCTGATCTGCAGCCATCACGTATTAGCTTATTATTAAGCTAGTCCATTGATAGGACTAAAACATTTTGTATATATTACCATTTTGACTATCACGTTTTAGGTTTTGACGATGCTATAATTACTTACTTACTTACGCCTGTTACTCTTAATGGACCATAGGCCGCCGACCAGCATTCTCCAACCCACTCTGTCCTGGGCCTTCTTTTCTAATTCCATCCAATTCTTGCTCGTTTTTCTCATGTCTATCTCCGTTTCCCCGCGTAATGTGTTCTTTGGTCTTCCTCTTTTCCTTTGGCCTTCAGGATTCCATGTGAGGGCTTGTCTTGTGACGCAGTTGGGTGCTTTCCTCAATGTGTGTCCTATCCACTTCCAGCGCTTCTTCCTGATTTCTTCATCCGCTGGAATATGGTTTGTTCTTTCCCAGTTGGTTGTTGCTAATAGTGTTCGGCCAAACGGATCCGAAGTATTTTGCGTAGACAACTGTTAATAAACACCTGTATCTTCTGGATGATGGCTTTCGTAGTTCTTCAGGTTTCTGCCCAATGCAGTAGAACTTCTTGACATTTGTATTGAAAATCCTGACCTTGGTGTTGGTTGATAGACAGTTGTTTTGAGTCCCAGATGTTCTTCAGTTGTAAATATGCTGCTCTTGCTTTACCGATCCGCGCTTTCATATCTGCATCAGACGCATCATGTTCATCAGTGATGCTGCCCAAGTATATAAAGGTTTTAACATCTTCCAAATCTTCTCCGCCAAGTGTGATTGGATTGCTGCATGCTGTGTTGTATCGGAGAATCTTACTTTTCTTTTTGTGTATGTTGAGACCTACTGCTGCTAAGACTGCTGCTACACTGATCGTTTTCTCCTGCATTCGTTGTTGCGATTGCGATAGGAGGGCCAGATCATCTGCGAAGTCTAGATTTGACGATGCTACACGAGCTTTCAATAAATTTGTCTATTTCAGCATTCACCTGGACTAAAACCTTTGCTGTTCTTTCATATTTTATCCAACAAGATTCTAACTTTAATGGTTCAAATCATGAATCAGTTGAAGCTAGACCACCATAGAAAACCTGAAAGCACTGGACGACCGTTCCGTCCTATTGTGGGACTCCTGAGCAGTGCACACCCACGACGGCCGTTCAGTGTTTCCACCTTTTCCATGGTGGTTTAGCTTCGATTGACTCATGATCTCAACCATTGAAACTATATACCTAATTATTATATGATTACATTGAGAATCAACAGTATATATGTAAATGCGTTTAACATTTTTCAACTCATATTCTCGTTATCATCATAATAATTTTTCTTTTTCCTTTTTATTTCAGACAAATTCCAACTCAATTACGTGATCAGTCTCATGAGGTAACCCACAAACAAAATTAAATTCTACACATAATTTAATTTTTTTCTGTTTTTCTATTAAAAAACGAAATAGAATATGGATTGTGTAATGAAAACGATAAAGAGAATACAACAATTAATTATTCAGTCTTCTGGACAAAATCAAACTATCACTGAGTCAATATTAGAAACAGATAACTTAGAACAAAAATTACATTTGCTTATAGCTACAGGTAAGTTACTTAACTTGGTTTTACCTTTTTTACCTAGTTTTCTATGGTTGTTTATAAGAAATAATGTTAAATGAAAATATATTCAATAATTAAAAACGTTAAAACAAAACACGAAATTTGTTATGTCTAGAGCTTAGATTCTTAATATAACGAGTATAACTTGAGCAATCGAACGCTAGAACCCTCTCAAGTTGCATATGAAAAAAACAGGAGAAGACTGAAGAAAGTGCTTATTGGGCAAGAATCTAAATGCATAGAAAATCATGAGTAATTATAGATATTAACATTTGTTAAATCAACATTATCATTCAACCAATCCACAAGGAGGTATATTATGCTACTGCCCATTGGTAGCACGTTGATATTCCAGAAAGCTCCACTACGTTCTGATTCGATGAAATTTTTTTACTCTTCTGGGGCCTATGGAGGCCCCGACGTAGTTCTCGGGAGCTTTCCCAACCGTTCAGCGAAGGGCCTTCTCTCTCTCTCTCTCTCTCTCTCTATATATATATATATATATATATATATATATATATATATATATATATATATATATATATATATATATTGTTAAAGTATTAATTCCGTGAGGAAATGTGAGCACGAGTATCCAAGATAACGTAATAGAAAGATTGTAATGCTAGATTACGTGATACGAATAATAACAATAGACTTAGTACGTTAGTAACGAATTATAACGCGCATGTAATAAGATGACTAAAATGTTTTTGTTACAATAATTAAAGGTCATTAAAGTTCATAGAAGTGTAGAAAATAAATAAAGTGATATGATGAGCGCTTATGAATAAAATAATGAGAATATGAGACATAAGTAAAGGAGGGGTGCAGTAATAATAATAATAATTTTTAATAGGTATCATTACCAAGGTTTGATTTGATAATTTCGAATAAATTGAGCATTGGTTAGATTGTTATAAATAATTTAATATATTTGTAATATCCCAATAAGTAGAAAAAAAATGAGATTTTCTGACGTTTCGTAACTCATTGTAAGTCACTTCTTCAGAGAATAAATAACGTTTGATCGCACATAGTATTCATGTTGTTCCGTTGTACTATTTAAACTTGAATTAATTTTGATTTGGTTATTTATTAAAGAAAATATATTTGTTTTTGTATATTTTCCAGCTATTGATATTATTGATAACCAAATAAATGGACCGAATTCTCCATGACGATGTAAAATCTGGCAGGCAGATAATGTTTTCTTTCTTTTATTGTCTGCGTAAGTCATGAACAGATGAACTAATTTGAACTTTGGGAAAAAAGTTTATTTTTTTTTAATTTATAAAAAATAAGAAAATGAATTTCATTTATGATGATTATTAATAAAAGTTTTAGTTACATTGGTTTAGTTATAAATGGTTCTATTTGCAAAGGGGGATTGAATAAGTTGTCATTGGCGGGATGTGTGTGTTTTTTACAATAAATAAGCCCTAAGTGAATCTCAACACAATCACTTTAAACGTTGCACCTCCAATTGAGCAAAGAGATTTATTTTTTAAATCTAACAAGGAAAAAGTAATACTTTAAGGGATCGTTATTACATGATAAGTAAATGATTCACAATACATCAAAAAAACAACCATTTTTGGGATCAAATCCAAATAAATCAGTCGTATTAGTATGGGGTTGTAGAGATTATTAAATTTTTATTGAGATCATGAACCGATTATTGTTAGACCACCACTAGAAACTTGGAAGCAATGGACAACCGTTTCGTCCTATTGTGCAGTATACAGTCGTAACATATCTATTCAGGACAACTGGAAACTTTAGGCAAATAGTTTCCAAGCATTAACTTGAAAATAGTTTATGAAATACCTAATGATTAAATTAGTTTATTGATAAAAAGTCTATCGATGTTCTCTTGATAAAGAATGGTGTTCATTATTCAGCAGTGTGGTTTTCGATGTCTTATTCGGTCTGAACATAGTTTCTACCACTAATGAGTACTAACTGAAGAACTACCTGTCTTATTTTGTTCACATGAAAGTTCCCATTCAGACATTTCCCAGAAGTGTGAACAGAGCTAAGAAACTTTTCTTGAAGGTTCTACACTAATATTATATTTATCATTTGTAATAACAATTGAGTGATACTAATTGCGTAGAACTGCTACATAATAGTACTATAATTTTACTAGTGATTTTAGAAAAAATTGCTCGAAACTAACTAATCAATTTCACTAAGCAGGATGAGGTAATGTACAGTAGAATCAGCAAAATAATTTAACATTAAGTGACCTTAGTGGAAACTGCGTAAGGATAAGCATATGAGTATTACAATCACTAAGATTTTGTTTAAATAGGAGAATGAAAGAAACCCAGAAATATGTAGAAAACTTGTGTTCAAACAAAGCCATGTTTTAAATAGTTTTGATTTGTTTTGATGGTCAAGATGAGAAAGAACAACGGTTCCATTATATCACTACTACAATTCGGAAGCTTGAAAACTTCGAATTCATTACAAACATTATGTTGTAAGAACGTTTTACAACGTTCTCAACAAAATCGATACAAAAGTGGTTTTGAAATTCATGTGAAAGTTTATTAGAATATAGATCAGATGATAATTCAATTAGAGAGTTAAATTTTATTTTATATGAGAAATAATTCATCTTCGTTCAATAGTTGTTTAGTGAACAAAAACTGATTATTTTTTTATTCAGCTTAATTAATTAAAAATAGAACGTTACCTTAGTAGTATTCGTCAACGAAACTCAAATTCTGCACGCATGATTCAAACCCAAGACCTTCAGTCCCGCACGAGAGCGCCTAGACTCTAGAACACTGAGCCGGCATTCAACGGTGTGAACGTTTAACTTCTGTCGATCCATGAATGGCTACCCAGTCATTCATCCATTGTCTGAGGTAGATACCTGTCTCTACCCTACACGGATTGAACTTCACTGGTCACGGTTCCTCACTAGAATATCAGGAAATTACATTGGAGTCAGTCACCAGTGAGCACATGATGCTTTCAAATATCCACGCGTATACAGCCACTACCAGGGAAGTTCTACTCACTGCGAGGATGTTATTTACGAAATTGAGAGGACAAAAAACAAATATTCGACGCTTTAACCGGGTTGGTTGGTGGATATGGAGGATCCACCTAGGGGGAGTTGAAAAATACTGATTCCAAACTAATGATGCACATGGGCTTCAGGATCCTGAAGGCACGAATGGAGTATGAACCAGTTGTTGGTCACAGACTACCATGGGACTGCATCTCCTGACGATGCTCCTCTACCGTGTGGATTGGACATGTAGGTCAATGGCTACAGATGTAGCCCCCTAGGAAAACCACCTGCTTCGGTTTGGGCACCCTTGCAGTATCATAGTCCACATACCAATCAAGTGACTTGTGTGACGCCTATCTATTCGGTGCCCCTTTGTACCAATATTTATGTGTTCAAATAAATAAATAAATAACCATCAAAAACCATGAAACGTATCTTTTGTACATGTCAATTAATTTTATCTTAACAGTAAAAAAGTAATCGGTTGGTTGTTTATTGAGAAATCCTGGAACTCGATGAATTACATGTTTATAAATAAATAATATATTTGTTATATCCCAATGAGTAGAAAAACTAGATTTCCTGACGTTTAGTGACTTAGTGTAAGCCACTTCTTCAGAGAATAAATAAATCTAATTTTTCTACTCATTGATATATTACAAATATTTTATTTAATTGTAACAATCTACCCAATGCTCAATTTATTCGAAATTATCAAGTCTAACCTCGGTAATGATGTGGTACGTGCTACTTATATTGATATAAGTAGTATATGACGCGAGTCGGGAATGTAATGTCTGGCAGAAGAAGATGGGGAAGATGAAGAAAGGAAGAGCGGGAATAGAAAGCAATTAGTATGGAAATGCAAGAACAACGAAGTTCGAGACAATTATTGAACATTTTGCAAATTAAGTATTATAGTATGGTTTTTCTATTTTACCAAGTAGCTGTAATTTTATGCTAAATACGTGTTTAGTTTACAGCTATTGCTTAACTGAACAGCGAAATATATGTGATCAATCAAGAAAATTAATCCAGCAATTAAATGCCTAACCGATTACGTCATGATGGCGGCCTGTTTGAATATTGAGCTACCTGTTCCTGATATCAACACATCTCAACAAGTTACCTGTATTTTATTTGTTGTAACACATCATTTTATCTATAAATTACATAAAACCTATTTAGGCGTGTTTATGAAAAGTTTACGACCTTCTGCTGTACAAGTTACAAAAATTTACAATTGGAGCTATCGTGATGGCTAGGATTGTGCATTGAAAAGAATGACTATTATTCAAATGTCAATTCTTGAACTGCTAACATTTAACTGGTGATCACTCAATATTTATTATCAGGATAGATGAAGAAATAAGGAAAGGAAACTTGTTAAAATACTTTGTGCTGAGAATTCTATATTGTACCAAAAAATATAATATTGAATAAAGTCATTAGTAATAATAATAATAATAATCTTAGATCAAAATCCTGTTTTTCTGTTCTAGAAATTATTTTTACAAAGGCTATCGAAATTGTTTCTTCTTATTGAACATTCTCGAATTGATTTCGATGCTATAAATTTCTATTAGACTATACTGATATATGGTTTTATTAACAGATGATCAACTTCAAATTTGTAAATATTGTTAAATGCCATATGTAATTTTGATATTTAGATGAATTAGAGTACATGGACTTAATAGCAATCTAAAACAATATGATGAATCCATGACACTGATATTGATAAAAGGAAAATTTGTTTAAGATTGGTTTGACCACAAATAGTTTTGCATCTTTTTGAATGGGACTATTACATTACAAATTCATTCATACAATTTCCTTTACACTATACTTTAAACAAAGTTAGAAGTATTGGCTTAAACCTTAATGAGATCAAAGTCTTTGTACATAAAATTTATATCGATTGAAGTCTATTATTTTAGGGATGAAAGCTTTGGTGTTGAGAATAGTAAGATACCATGATGAAGTTTGAAGGGGTTATCGACTAGATAACTGATGAAATGAGTTCATATGTCTTTAGAATCATTAATTATACATACTGAATATCTCTGTCGCTCATATTTGTACATATTACAACAGTAATTGATAGATTATTGTCATTGAACACTTTCATTAAACATTTGTTACATCAAAGACTGATAAGTTGTCTACTGGTTTTTTCTACGTTTCTCTACCGAATTTGAGCCAATGCTACGTGAGAAACTAAAACGGCTACTTATAGTTAAGTACTATAATGTTTCAGAATAACAGATTTAGTCTCTTAATTTTTAAGTAAATTCCTGTGCTAACTAAAATCACTATTGTTTGTGGAGTATATGTTTCTGATGACTAGATCATAATAACTTTCGGAACTCACTTACATACATCACAACATACAGATGGTATAAACGAATTGACGAATTATGCCATTTCATTTGGCTTAATCATTTGTTTTAATGTATTGAATTAGGTTTTATATATTATTCATTAAAAAGAAGCTTTATGGATGAATTGAATAACGTCTGTACCAATATTATTATGGTTGCTTTTTCGAATCCTCAAAATGGAACCAGCTAATTAGTTTATATCTATATTGAGTTATCGCAATGGTTCTTTACATATCTGTTTACATATTAGTAAGCTACTCTTATTAATAAACTTTGATTATGTGAAGGAAAAGTTAGTTTAAACTCTATTTTTAATAAACCATTTAACCGATGTAACATTAATGAGGTCATATTACAAAGTAACCGACTATTAAATTCATCTATTGAATAATATAAACCCCCCCCTCCACCAAAAAAACGTTTATGTTATACTGAACATTCAGCACTTTAAAGTAAACAAATTCTTATTACACTTATAGACATATATCAAATTATGTAGAATGATGAAATATTTAACGTTGGATAGGTCTAAATAATGGGGTCATTGACACAATATACTATTCTTGAATCACTATATAAGATAATGCATGAATATGTGAATTATTATAATTGAAATTGAATATCTTACATTAAAATGAAAGTGACGCCAATTATCTTCACTGTATTTTGTATTGTAGGTGCTACGACATTGATCAAGTAAGGATTTGTTTTGAAAGTCTATTTTAACAAATGTAGTGTTGAATGTTAATGTGAATTATAAGTTAAAAATTCAATTTTTCTTTAGTTTATTAATATATTGGCTTGTTGAGTAATTATTGCATAACACCATCTGTCATAATTTAAAGATATGTAATCACTTACTAAATTCTAAGTAATTGTTGTACACCAATCAACAGAGATCATGATCTAATTAGTATGTTTGTTTCAACATCCATACTATTGAATTAGGAAAGGCTTCAAAGCAGCTTCACATATAGATATGTTTTCGTATTTTGGCGGGATTTTAGATGTATATTAGGTTAGTGACGTTTTTTTATCTAAATGTATTCATGTCTTATCTCCTAGAGTAAGCAGGATGATATTCTTTCATATATTTTCCAAATGTTTTACTCTTAAAATCTCTTGATTTTTAATTGTTCCGATACGGTCAATAGACTGTTTTATATGAATAGCTGAAACTTTGCAAAACGTAGTTATAATTTGAATTAGTTCTTATGCAGGTTTTTACAGAAGTTGTCTCTATTTTAAATAAATTAAGCTGGTGAGATTTCTTATATTGAAGTGATTGAATGAAAAGTTTTGATTTAAATCTCCTGAGGTTCTGAATCTTCAGAGAAATGGTTAACTTGATACTAACATATCCGTTCAAGACGTTGTAATTAACTGATACGTAGTTAAAGGACGTCCGGGTATAAATGCAAAAATTGTACATAATAACTGTAAAAAAAATCCATTAGATTGGTCAGTTTTGTTAGAGAAGTTAATCATCCAGAATATTTGGGATGATTGACTAACATGTCCATCAGCAGTCCCACCAGAAGGTTGTTTTTTGACTAGAGTTCGCTTTTCAACGTAATTTACTTTCAATGTTTCTTAAAATAACCTAATAAGAAATAAGTATGGATTGCCTCCTTCTTCATAATCAACTGTTTTTTCTAATCTCTTTTAGAGCTACAACGTTAGAGCATGTACCTCACCCGAGTGAAAAAGACATGGAATTAGTGTATATTGATGAAGAATATCAAAAAGAAGGTGGACTGGTACTTATTCTGATTTCATAATGTTTGATATCTATTATATCTCTAAAGAGATCAATATGCAACGAACTAAAAAAATCCTTCCAAAAAGGGCGACACCACATATATAAAGTTATTGATAAATATATAAGGAAGGATGATTTAGGCTTAAAAATGTTAGAAGTTGCCAAAATCCGTAAGTTCACGTACACATTCATTATCTTCCTTAGTTGGAAAACGCATTGAAAAACGTATGAAATACATATCGATGAAACTGGATGAGATGATGGCCTATGAATCATCTTAGGCATATTTCATAACACGATGGTTAGTAATGTTGTGGATTTCAGACATTGTTTTTCTCTGCTTTTTGTTTACCACTTTCTTAACGAATTTGAGCAAATAATAAAGATTAATGAAAACGCTTTATCTTGTGTTATGTTCACTTGCGGTAAAACACAGAGACTATTGATAAAGATAACACTGAATACAAAATAGGAAATGCAGTACATCAGAATAATTAGCCCCACAAACTTTCATTGTTCCCAGTCGGATACTTTCATGAGGAACGAGGTTTACAGAGGTATTAAATACGTAGAAAGATGTAGATTGTTTTACAACTTTAATTTACATGCTTCTTGTATGGTCCATGTAATACAAGTGTGTCTCCGTATCAATTAGGGAAATGGAAAAGATCTTATAAACATGTAGAGACCTGAAAATAATAGGAAAGTGACATTAAGTTAATGAAACTAAGAACTTTGAGTTATACCAGATCTACTAGACCAGACTGCAACTGTCTAAAACGTTTTGGGGAACAGAGAAACATTTTAAACGTCTAGATTATTGATATCGTGACTTCGTAGATTTAATCAAAGTGGTTTATGTTGTTGCGTCTCAGCAAAGAGAATAGTTTATAACCAAGTTGAACATATTTAGTATATTTATCCCTAGTCATATACACATATCGGATCCAATAAGAAGCTTTTGTTGTTTAAATGGTAAGAATGGTCTTGATCGAATGTAAGGACCGTTGCTCAATGCGTACCTACTTATCTCCGCCTTTTACGCCTCGTGATGCATAGATAGCAAACTAGGAATTTTTCCCCAGATACAAATTTTTCAAGGAAAGAAGCAGTAAGTTTGACAATTTAATCAAAACATTTATATACTTAGTCGCAATGAGTTTAAGTTAGTGAATAGCTTTTTTTTTATATGTAAAATGATAATTTAGAAGAAAAGAATATTCTGTTTTAAGCAAAAACCTGATCGAATTCAATAGTATTTAATTAGGATTAAATGAATCAAAGTATAGAGCTGGATGAAAATATTGGGAAAAAATATGTTGACGTTGTAAATGAAGTGTTTGATAAATTCCATCCAAATGTCAGTGAATAGGAAACTACTGTCAATAGGGAAATTTATAAACCATTTAGACTGTTTGAATCACCATGTTTAGAGAATCGAAAAATCTTTCTCATAGTACAGAGACGGGAAAAACTAGAAGTTTGCTTAGGTTTATTGAGCACAACATCGGATAAAATTGTTTCGGGAGAATCTAGGATGAAAATTTAAAACTAATTGTGAAATTTTCAGAGATAACTGTTAAGTTCATGATGAAAATTGAACTACTTGACCCTGATGGTTACAGCTTCTTCACTAGGACCCTCACAGTCCCGATATATCAGTCTTAAACGTTCCGTTTGTATCATCTTTGAGCCACTAATTTAGTGATCATTGAGTATGTTTTGTGCATACGAAGAAGTCCTAAACATTCTCTAACATTCAACAATAATTACTTCTTAAATTTCAATCCCCTATTTTTCTGTATTCTCTGACTTGTCTAGATAGTTCTGACCATTAATAGGTAACATTTTGTTTCATAGTCTCTGTTTCCATACAGAGTATTGCTCATCAACTCCTGAAAATATGAAACTCGAAACAAATATTATCTCAGATTTCGTAAAAAATGAATTTTCCAATTTATCAGACCAATAAAAGAACTAGTATAAATTTCTTGAAAAATATGTCAGAAAAGGAGATTTAAAAGTGAAAATGTTAGAAGTTGACAATATCTGTAAGTTGATGCATTCATTCATATCATTCCTGACTTGAAAAATGAATTAAATGACTTTTCAATGCTTTGTCCGTCAAACTAGACACTAGGTTAGATGGCTAGTGGCTAGCAGTGTAACCAGGTCGCGCGTTTCGTCCCATTTAGGACTATCAGGACTCATTAGCAAAGTCAATAACGCGATGGTGTTTGAAGCGGACGGTACTAAGTTCGAGTCCCGGGGTGAGCATCAACGATTTTTTTACCAAGTTCATTTTCAAAGTTGCACAATCACGTATATGCGAAATAAATTACGGGTCAATAAATAAATTGATTTAATAGTTATGTTCATGAGTCGATTTCCATGGAAAACATGGAAACACTGGACGGCTGTTCTGTCCTATTGTTGGACGCCCTAGTAGTGTGTACCCACGACCCCACCACTCGGGATTCGAACCCAGGACCAATCAGTCCCGCGCGCGAGCGCTCAACCTCTAGACCACTGAGCTGGCATCCAAAGGTGTTAATGTCTAACTTCAAACAATCCACGAAATTGTCCGTTAGAATTCTATGAGTTGTTACATGAAATTTCACAACACCATTTATAATAAACAAATAGTAATTGAAGTAGTAAATTTACGAAACATAGAAAATATACAACAAATAGGTGACAAATTGCTAGGGCTGAAGCTATCATGAGTTCACTTAATCTGCGAACGAGAAACAAGACTCGATGACCAAAGACCAGTAAACTAGCTATTGATGCGTCCCAGCCTCGCTAACTAGAGGGAGAAGTCCAAACTTGCAATGGGGAAGTATATTCTGCAAAACAGTCAGAAACGAGCGATAACAACAAACACAATTCAAAACGTATATGTACAGTACAAAACCGTCCTTGGGGAGAGTTATCAAATAACATACTAAAAAGACGTAACGGACCAAGAGCATTTAAGATATTTCCCAGTGGGAAATACGACATGAAGGTGACAAGAGCGCCTTTGGCGCAAAAACAAAGAACTTCAAATTTTCTAAATAAAATTACAAAATTAGGTCTTTTCCCCAGTGCATTCTGGGGATCTAACGTCCCTAACAAAAGTTAAATAGTTAAATGGGAATGAAAAAGTGATAATGGTAATCAAGAAAACGTGACTAGAATTAATCTTTGTTGTAAGAATAATAATAGGAATAGGAAATCACAGTAATTTAGGATAGTTTTATAAACACGGTTAGGGTGGAGGAAATGATAAAAAGAGGAAACAAATAAATAAACTAAATAAAATCACAATCTATGGTCATAGTTAAGAGACTGATCCTACAAATTGTTCTTTCAGTAATTATTTCCCTAAATTAATCATTAAACATGAGTATTTGATTTGTAAAGTCAACAATAAAATACGTGAATATAGTTTTACAATTGAAGAGGTTCTAGAGAACATTCAACAAATATATAACAACACCAAATAATTGAAAATATTATTTAAAATTTGATTAATATGCTTGAATATTTCTTCCAAAAACAAATAAGTGAGAAAATCCCATTTTCCTGAATTAATATCAAACGGTGATATTACTGGAGGTTGTTATTTATCAATTCGATTGGACATGGTATTTAAATGAATAGTTTCTCTTCTTATTTTGAGTCAACAGCGTACATGATGTTCCGAAATTCTTTATTGATTAGTGGTAAAACTGATTGGTATATCACTAGGAGAATCAAGGATAGGTGTGTAAATGTAAAAGCCGATTAAATGTACCACATATAGTATATAAGCGGTGAAAATGTTACAAACATGCTGGTGCTTTCATACTAACAAAATCAACTTTCTAGTATATGGTTCACATGTTAAGTAGTACGATATTATGTGGAAAGTTGAACCTAACTTCATACATGTTTAGATAAGTTTACAAAACTCTTGATTTTACATCATTCGTATAATTCGTTTTAACTAGTAAGTTCACTAAATGTTTTGTTATTTTCTCTAAGTAGTAGTCCGCTTTCGCAACATGTGTATGTACAATACGTGTGAATACTTTTATTTTACGACTATTCTTAAAAATATATAGAAATTATTTGCAAAAAATAATACTAGCGATGTTTATTTTATTTATTTAAACACATAAACATTGGTACAGGGAGGCACTAAACAGATATGCCCCACATAAATCATTCGATTTGTGTGAGGGTTGGGATACTGCCCGGGTGCCCAAACCGAATCCATCCAAACACATGTTCCCTAAACTAGTTATTGAGTTTCCGATATTAATATTTCCGTTTCATTCTGTTCAACGGTAAGCTTTATTTAAAGTGAAAATCACGTTTTAAAATATTTCGAATCATTGAATTCCTCTCAATTTTTAGTATCTAATGTCATCCAATCTTTAATCATTTCAAAAAGTGTACCGATATTTTATCATGTATATTAACGAATACCTTTAATGAATCCTTCAACATGAATTTTATATCAGGAGTTTGCGATAAAAATAAACTAATTTGAATACCGAAAAATGTGTCTAGTGATATTAAGTACAATTTCGACCGATAACAATCTTGCCTTAAAACGATAGTTAAACCACTAATTTAGCTTGTATTACATGACAATATTGATTTAAATCAGTATGCTTTCAAACATGCAAGAAGTACTTTTGAAGTTGTATTTGTCTTAAATAATGATACGGGGTTTAGTTTATCAAAACGTGTTAGGTATGTTCAATACATTTCGATTTGATTACGTTCCATGTTTTCCCCTGTGTAACAAATTTGCAGTGAAAAGTTTTACAAATCTTGGATAACAAACAGGTTACTTTGTAAGCTTTGTGGTAGAGAATTAAAAATTATGTATAAAGAGGTGTAAACACCTAATTACCCTCAAACGATTAATATAACTGCACATTTTTACAGTCATAAATCCCAATTCACATATGAGATAAAATTACAATATCAATAGTATTTCACTTTCATCTTTACAGAAATTATACTAAAGTATATTTTTAAACTCCTTTATTCATTTACATAAAGAATTGTATCTAATATTGCATTACAGTTATATTTAATTTGTCACGTATAGGCTTATTTCAATCATTTATCTTATATGGACATAGTTAATTGAGTAATCAAGAACTATCTTTTAGATAAAATAATATATAATGAAAATAATCTTTAATAACATTACATCAATAACAATCATGAATTAGAATGATTCTCAATCCATCTGTTAAATAAGAATATCTATCAATCAGTTTATAAATTACAATTATTATTATCATTAGTAGTAGTAGTAGTAGTAGTAGTAGTAGTAGTAGTAGTAGTAGTAGTAGTAGTAGTAGTAGTAGTAGTAGTAGTAGTAGTAGTAGTAGTAGTAGTAATGATGATATATTTGTAAGATCAATAGAACATTTATGTATCCTGTAATGCTTTCAGATTGTTGAATGCAAAGATATATATATATATATGTACTCAATTAATAAGGCAATGAAACTTTATGTTGCTATGATGTTTCATATGCTAACATTTCTTTCAATTTCTGTGCTAGATAATCCGCTCGTTTTTCAATACGTCTGCTAACTAAAAAAATACATGAATTGATCATATTTATTTTATATATGAACCATAACTTACGGATTTTAGCAACTTCAAGCATTTTCTTGTCTAAATCATCTTTTCTCAAATAAGTATCGAATGTTTTGTACATTTTCATACGTCCATTTTTAAAAGATTTCTTTAGAACTTTATATATTGCTTTCTTAAATGTAACATTGAATTATTAATTATATTTATGTAGAAGAAAGTAGTTACCATTCCATGTTTTGAGTCGACATTTTCATCATTCACATTCTCATCTTCACTATCACTTTTCTTTTTATTGTTATCCTTATTTTTCTTTTTCTCCTTGACTTTATGCTTTTCCCCTACATTTTCATGTGTTTCTTCATCCTTTTCTTTGGTTTTATCATCATTCCCATTTTTCTCTTCAGTTTCATCTTCATGCTCATTTTCGTTTTCATCTTTATCTTCTTCCTTGTTTTTTGAGTGATCCATATCTTCATCGTCCCCTTCTTCAGTATGGTGTGCTTTACTAAAAAATACAATGAAATCTTTTTGATTGTGAATAAGTCATAATACACACATATATTGTTTTCAGTCTTAAAGCAGTCAATGAAAATTCTGTACATAATTTCATCTTCATTCAGAATATATTGATATTTGTTACATACAAGCAAGTAATTAGATAAACACGAGTATTCGATAACTGCATATAAAATAAAGTTTCAGTTATATGTATATATATAGAATTATTAAATTAAATAGTTGAGATGATGATTCAATTGAAGCTAGACCACCATGGAAAACCTGAAAGCATTGGACGGCTGTTTCATTCTATTGTGGGACTTCTCAATGCTTCCAGATTTTCCATGGTGGTCTAGCTTTAATTGACTCATCACCTTAACTATTAAAATTATTATAATATCCACAAGACCCCTTCTGATAATGAAATTGTTAATTTATAATTTACGTGATTTTATTAGTAAGTTTTTTGAAAAATCCTATCCATTTATTGTTGTTAAACACGATAGTGTACCAATTGTTTGTTGTATGTTTACTTTCTTTTCAATTAAACACACACTATGACGATGGTTTTGAGCTAGTCATAGTTATGGATACAAAATTTTATAAGAAAGTGAAAAGATTAAAATGAATTGTATTGAATGTAAATAAAAGAACGTAATAATGGAACAAATATTACAGTAAGTACATTTTTTAATTGATAGTCACTGTTTCAATGGTTAAGATCATGAGTCAGTTGAAGCTAGATAACCATGGAAAACCTGGAAGCACTGGAAGGCCGTTTCGTCCCACCGTGTGACTCCTCAGCAGTGAGCATCCACGAACCCGCCCCCTGCGAGATTCGAACCCAGGACCTACTGGTTTCGCGCGCGAGCACTTAACCCCTAGACCACTTGGATGGCCGGCATCCAACAGTGTTAATGTCTAACTTCAACTAGTCCACGAAATTGAGCGACACATCCACCATTGTCTTCAGTGAGTTACTATCTCACAACAGACATGGTTGAACTCCACTGGTCACTACTTCTCACTAGAACTGTTTCGTAAGTTGGGTAACATCAATTATGTAAATATTGCTTTCGTTAATCTATTTACTGACAGTTCATAAAAGTATTGTGTATCATTACCGATTTTCAATATAATGAAGAATGTTTTTGAATTCGGCTTTGTTATAAAATCGTCATCAGTGTATGAAAGAAGTCACACGTAAATAATATTATCAGTGATAATATAGTAGCTTTTGTACAATTGAGTTTGTTCACATTTAATTTGGTTAAACCCTTTTGTTAATTTATTTATCGGACAGAGTTATTCGTACAATAACAACTTATCTATACCATTGTATATTTCTTATTGTTGATCTTGTATGAATATGTATGCTTGACCATTACTTAGTACCTACGCATATATTCATTCTGATAGCCTTACTATTAGTCGCTTAATTGATTCGATGATTCATTTATCCCACCACATATATATGTACATTTTAATCCTGTTCACTCTCGCTAATTCGACTCACTCGCTCACTCGCTTGTCCGATTGCTTTTCGGCACTACTCTTTCATTCTTGCTTAGAGCATCTGTAATTTTGGTGATCTGTGCGTGGGGTAACAATAAACGTGATCAACACTTCGTATTCGCCTTCTGATTAATACACCGTTGGGATGTTATCTAGTGACCATTATCAGGACGAACTGTATACGAAGTTTAAGCATTATATTGAATACCTACCATAACAACAATTAAATTATTTTTAATATGTATCAATATCAAGGTTAGACTTTATAGTTTGAAATAAATTGAACATTGAGTAAAGAGTTAATAATAAATATGCTTTTTTTATATTCCAGTCAGCAGGAAAATTGTAGCTCTAACGTTCAGTGACTTAATTTAGGCTACTTCATCAGAGTAAATAAATAACCGATATGTCCGTTATTATTACTATATTCATTACATTATTAACACAAAATTGATAATTATTAACTCACCTTATGAATGTTGAATAAGTCAATAACACAAAAATTACGCATAGTAACATAATAAACTTCATCTTAACTAGAGAGAATGAGATTGTAATATGGCTTAAATATCGTTAAAATGTTGTATTATATAGTGGCTATAAAATAATGTTGTCCTTTATTTCATTCAAATCATAAATTTATCCTTCATTTTTTTTCGAATTCATTTACTAATACTTGTCCACAAATAATGAAAGTTCTGGGACATGTATCTGTAACTATGGTATAGTTGTGGAATTTCAAATTATTATTTGAAGATATGACCTTATCACATCCGAACTGTTTGATTGTTTACATTTCATCATTATTATTATTTATTTTTGTTTAAACTAATGCGTGAAATTCATTAGTGAGTGTATTTTAAAAAATGTAGGCTTTTATGTACTAAAGGATACAAAAAAGAATATAAACATTTATGCATGTAATTTCGAATATTTTGGGAAAAATGTGGTAAGGTATAAAAGTTATCTTATACGTAACTTATCAAATACACAGATTTATATCCATAGTGATATTATAAATGGGATAGAAGCTCATCAACCGCCAACTTCAAATTTCTGAACGTCATCAACTCCAGTGTTGACTTATCACTATCAATAGATATCAGACAATTATAACGCTAATACATTCATAATATCGAGTATTTCAAAATGTGAATTAATTGATGAAGGGTTGTAGCACCGATGGCAGTACATTTAGTCAACTAATGATACAAAAACCGAAACGAGTATTCTAAATTCTCGTATTCATTATCACCAAACATCCTCAATGTTCTATGTTTAGATTCTGAAGAATTCAGTAGAATACTACTGGTTCCTTTGATCATATCTCTCAAATTCACTTTGATTTATCAGTTAGCCTCTCCGAACTATCTAAAATGAGACGAAGAGAGAGAGAGAGAGAGAGTAGATTTCACCTAAAACAGACATAAATATGATAATTTAGCAGAAACTAAGTTCAGTGAAAGTTTATATTCTGAATAGAATTGATGGTTCAGTGAACCAGTTAAAACTACCTTTTCCTGATGAATATACATACTCCAAATTGTTGCTTTGTTTATTGCACAATGGGAACGTTAGTAGGAGTAATCAATTAAATGTATATATTGTCTCCTAAATTGTGAAAATTACACATTCATACATTCGAAGTATTATCAGATATTAATTCAAATATATTGGTTGTTTGTATCTTCCCATTGATGTTTAGGACTGCAATTGATCAATCTGTTTTGTGTTAAGTGCACGTGTGAGGATTGTCTTGATATTGCTAACAGATTACAAGCATTTAAGGCAGAGACGGATGGTGGCTTGCAGTGGAATCCAGGACGCACACCTCGTGTTGTTTGGGACGCATCAGCTGTATGTGCCTGCATTTTGGACTCCCTAATACAAAGAGACGCTCATCCTGGATTCCACCATCAGCTGTAATCCATTCCTGCTTTTAAAATATCATCAGACAGCTTTTGAAGTTAGTAATAACACTGTTAATGCAATGTTACACATTCCTTGTCTCATTATCACAAAGCTAACCAATTTATCATATCATAGTAGTTGGGCACCAACTTATTGTAAAACATGAAAGCGGATAATTTCATTTTTTAAATTTCAACGATTGAACTTTAACTAAATCCAACGTTTCGTACAGCAATGTGGTCCAGGTTTTTCCAAGGTATTTCATTTTAGCATATGTTAAAAATCCATTCTGAAAATCAATAGGGAAATAGTGTATTTCTGTTTCGATTTGAATAGCATCCAGATCTCAAATAGTCATTTTAAGAAACTGAAACTTGTGAACATTACAACTGTCTCAGTGTAAACGTAAAGTTCTTCATTCGAATTAAGATGATTCAAATTCTTAAGGAAAACAAACATTTATTGCTTAAGTGAAATAGGCTCAGAACCGAAAAGCTCTTTGATTATAGAAACTATGTGCAAAACACCAGTTTGTATATTTTCAAAACTTTTTTCTGAATATGTTGAAGAAAACGTATAAAAATATCATCAAAGTTCACATACTCCAGTTTATTTTAGTTTAATTGTCCAAGAACAGTGATATATTATTAGAAGGGTCTGATTTATCCTCTTGCTAGTATTGGGGACTGAATTTCGACCAGTCGTGGTTGGGATGTATGTTTCCAGTGAGGATCACCGTGAAAATAAAAATATGTCACTAGTTATTTAGAACAAATAGACTATGAATAGAAATGAAATCCAGGATGGATGCTTTGTCCAATTTGGGACTTGTTTTGTGGATGTGCCTTCGTCCAAGTGTAATATTCATATCAAGACTATAACTCATTAACTTACGTTTAAAACTTTCAACAGGTTTTCATCTGAATTACTGGGTCCAGATAACCACTAACTTTTCCGGCATTTCTAATGTTTATATCACTAGTAGTAGAGATATGAATCATCCTTTTGTCAACATTAGTGGCTGTAAATATGTCAACAAGGCCTGACCAAAACTCAGTCCAGTAAGAAAATATTGTGATTATACTTGTGCTGGTTTTACGAGAAACGGAAAATCGATGAGTGAGTGGAACAAAATGGATTTTAATAAATGATCGTGCTGTCGTTATGAAATAGCTCTGAACATCACAGCACAACTGATGTAGTACAGAAGATCGTATGTAAGTAAAGAAAGACTTCTGATAATTACCTTTAAATCAGGAAGATTACAGAATGGTTACCGATTAGTCCACTCCTCTGAAATTTGAACTGAAATTAACTAAACAAGTTATTTTGATATATTTGAAACTGATGATGCCGAATCTTTACGAAGTAATGATAAAATGGATCATTTTAGTTAAATAAGTCCATTTTTATCATTTCAGTTTATTTAAAAATAAACTGTTTCTTATTGCTTGTAGAATGGCACTGCAAACTAAATTCTATAAAGTACTAAATTATTATCAGTATGAGATAAAGGAAATTATTACGTTTTTGATTGCGATCATGAACCGATTGATGTTAAACCACCATTACAAACCTGGAAGCATTGGACGGCCACTTTGTCTCATTTTGGGACTCCTCAACAATGTGCATCCATGATTCTGCTCGCGGAACTCGAACCCAGGGCCTTCGGTCTAATGCGCGAACAATTAACCTATTGGACCACTGAGCCGGAATCCATTGGTGTTAATGTCTAACCTCAACCAATCCACGGAATTGCTTGACCATC